GGGGGGGGGGGTGTCACCTGGGTTAATATATTTTTGATGGTTGTGTTCGACCCAGAACAGAAATGAAACCGCTGAGCTGCCTCATTCCGTTAGGGCTGCCTGGCTGTGTTCTGTTGGAAAGGTCCCTGGGCACATTTAGAATAGCAGGCGGCGCTGATCAAAAGAGCCGCACAAGGTCTTTCGCTCTCCGAAAAATCGGTTTGGAAGAGCAACTGCCGGGGGCAGGGCACACACCGCGTTTTGCAGTGCAAACCTGGGTTTGCAGGATCTGGATCAACTTTCTAATTTCAGCATTCAAGGCAACCTGGGTCAGGGTGCTGTGTGGCCTGGGCAAACTCTAAGGTCTGGGGCATGGGTGTCAGAAAGCTGAACTGGGGCACCAGGACCCAGACAATAGTCGGCACACTTCATGGGCAAAGTCCAGTCAGCAGCCAAATCCACATCTTTATCCAGAGCAGGCCAAGGTCAAAGCAGGAGCGAACAGGGAAGCGGGCAAAGCGTAGTCCAGAGAGCAAAGTGTAGTCAAAACAAGCCAGAGACCAGGAAGCAAGACGACAGGACAAGGGCCAGGACACCTCTGGAGCAGGTGCGAGTGCAGGTGCGAGCGCGGGATCGAGGTCCAGCAGCAGGAGCGAGAGCAGACAGGGTCCAGGCACCACAGAGAGCTCCAGCGCACTGGGAGCCAGTGGGAGCTTCTGCAGGGAGAGCCACTTCCTCAGCAGCTCTTTCCCAGGGCCCCCAGGCGGCGTGGGTGAAGGCCCTGGCAGCTGCAATCGAGCCCGGGAGGGATCCTGCAACTTCCAGGGCGGTTGGTCTGGCATTTGGCCAGCACGAGGAGTCCTGAAGCTGCCCAGAACCCGACAGGTGTTAGCGCCCTTCCAAGTTTTCCTGGGAGGCTTTGCAACAGAGGCATACTCATGGACCAAACCTGCATCGCCTCTTGAGGACGTTGACTTACCGAGATACCAATGTAGACAGCCGTTTTCTTTCCAAAACGCGTTAGAAACCACTGCCAGAAAGGGATGGTCAAAGTGGCAGAGAGCTGCAGGAGAGGGAACAAAAAGGGGGAGGAACGGTTGTTGCCGAGTGTCAGCCAGGAGCAGCCTTTGCCACCGGTCCTCCAGGTGCGCCGCGCGTGGAAGAGCAGGCGCTTGCATGCGGCGTCAGTCAACTCGGAGCAAGTGGCCCCAGTCCATGCTCGCTCGTGCAGGTGGGCCGGAATCCACGCTTCACCCATAAGAGCGAACACAGAGAACGGGAACCAAAAATGCTTTGATCACTCTGACCGCAACTGCACTGGGATCACCGGAGGTTTTTCCGTAGACCGTTGGTTGCATCACGGCAAGGAGAATTGGGGAGAGCTGTCGGATGCCGGTATCTGGTTCCCTTCACGAGCAAACACAACTTCTCTTTCTTTTAAAGCTCCCCCGGCACTTGCCTCACCTGTGATCTCTGCCTTTATGTCTGCAGACACTCATTTGTGACTTCCGCACTGGCAATGCTGCCGTGGCTGCTGACAGCTGCCGGTTCTCAGGCAAGGGCGCCAGTCCTCCCTGCCTGCCCCTTATGCCTGGCACTACCTCCCAGAATGCCCGCAGGTGAGGGAGCACCTCCGCGGCCCCAGAGCCCTCCTCCCAACCCACCAGTCCCTCATGAAGCCTCTGGCCAGTGCCTCGGCCTTCTTCCTCTGCCTGCCACCTATTGAAGCCACTGTCTGCTGCATTCCTCTCTGCCTGCATCAATGTAAACTGAAGGCTCCTCCAGGCGGGGCCTTTTGCAGGTGGTGGCTTCTGAAATGCTTGTTATTTCAATTTAGAACAAGGATGGGGAATGGCAGCTTCCATTATCCTTGATCATGAGATGTGCCGGCTCGGGTTGATGGGAGTGGCGCACCAACAAGACCTGGTGCGCAAGAGGTTCCACACCCCGATTTATAACTTATTTTAGAAAGCTTTCTTTGTTTTCATGTTGAAATCTTCGTTCTCCCTTAGTCTGAGAAAACAGACAGGCCGGGGAGGTGCTGGGAGTGATCCAACCCCCAAACGAAGGCACTGAGCTCTCCATGAGAAACTCCAGCATCAGGTTCCTTTCTCCTCATCTCATGAAGTCCTGCTGTCCGACCTCACATGGTCTTTGGCAGGGCAGGAATTTGCTCATGGCAGTTTGAAAGCGCTCCTTCCTCTTCCTACTCAATCAGAAAGGGGAAGGGAGATAAACAAAGGGCAGTCAGTCCTCTTGGCTACTTCATAAGTAAGACTGATACAGGTTTTTGCTCCCATAGGTGGGGCATAAACTGGATGGGGAACCACCTGGAAAAAGCTCTGATGAGTATTTCAGGAGATGTGTCACTTTCCCGAGGGCACATGCATTCATCTTGGCCCATGGCCACATCCAGCAAAGCTACACATTTGTCCAGCGCCAAATACAAGCCCTTACCTGCCCTTCATACCACTGGCCTAGGACACACAACACTAATCCATGGCTTATTTAACCCAGAATTAGTTGCTCCACACAGGGCTCATCTAGCAGATGACAAACCACAGTCTATTCTTCTGATCTCTCCACTGTTTTCTTCCTCCTTTGCCTGCTCTCTCCTTTGAACATTCACACAGCTGCAGAGAAACTGGAATTGAAAGCAGCTTTGTGTGTGTTTTTATTATGCCTGCCTGCCTGCCATCTCTGAGGCCTCGGAAAAACCACTCTGAGCACCTCGCAGTTCTGGGCTCACATGTAGTGACAACTGCTTGACAACCACAGGTCCTCTTTCTGGATTGTTCATCGTTAATGCACCACACTTCATTAGCATGCCTAGCTCACACATCATGACAACTCAGAAATCAGCAACCCGTGCCATGGGTAGCCAGATGTGCAATCCAGGCTGCTTGCTTTGCTGCACTTTCCAAAAGTCTACCAGCCACATCTGGCATTTGTTAAAAGTTGTGACGCTAGAATCCTTTCTTCACCGATTCCCTTTGGGTCTTAGAAAAGGTGTGCATAGCCCCAAAATGTTCAAGAGGAAAAGACTATTCCACATAATCCTTGTGTTTGCTGCAAGCGTGCACAGCACATGAGGCTGGAAGGGTGCAGGGAGAAGAACAGCTGATAGGGACAGAGGTCTAATCAACCCAAATTAACACTGCAAACACTAGAGGATTTAAAAGAGACCACACGGCAATTAGGCAGCAGGTCTGGGATCTTGCTTTTACATGACTGCCTCATGGAGGCCACACACAGAGGGAAGCATGGAGAAGGGATCTGGCATCTGCTGGCTGGACAGAGTGAGGCCTTTTCTTCCCACATCCTCCCCACACCCCAAAATGTTCTTCCATCTCCTTCCTCTTTTGCACCTTCAGCAGCCCAGAACAAAGCTCTTGAAACTCTGTTCTGAATTTTAATAACCCTTTAGGTAGAAACCTCTCCCCACTGGCTTCTCTTAATCTCCACCACTCCCAGAACATCCAGTTTTGCTGCTAAGCTGTGCTCAAGGGGGTTGCTTTGAAGCTTCTGCCAGTTTAACCCTGGTGCTGATGTTCCCACTAGGAGTCTTTCTAAACACTGCAAGGAATGAGGCCTTAGACTGCAGCTGGCGTGGTGGTTCTGGATGCCCGAAAATGAGAGTAAGGGTTCCTTGCATGCAGAATAGCAGCACGTCAATACAACTAGTTTACTGCACAAAGCAAATGGCTGTCCATACCCAATCTATCCAGGAGAAACTACCTTACACGGGGTTGGACTACTGGGCCATAGAGCCCAGCCGTGTTGACACTGGCTGGCAGCACTGGCTGGTGCTCTGAAGTTTTTATGTATTTATTAAAGGCTTTTATATCCCACCCTTCCCAATGTCTCAGGGTGGTAATAAAATAAAATAATAAAATAAAATAGATGCAGCATCCATACAACAACATAAAGAATCAATCTTAAAACACTACTAACATTTAAAATAATGGGAAAATAAAAAGGGGTTGGTCTGGAGCCAAATTAAGAAAGCACTGACATCAGGCCCACTTCTGAGAAGCACATTCCATAGCTGGGGGACGGGGACCACTGCAGAGAAGGCCAGGTTGTTAACAGGGACCAGCCGGTGTGAACACAAAACGCCGGTCCTTTTCCACCTATTCTGGCTTCCAGTTGATGCCTGGGCCCAATTTAAGGTGCTGGTGATGACCGATAAAGCCCAAACGGCTTCGGGCCTGGTTACTCGTATGTGCCCATAAGATCTGGGGTACACGCCCTTCTCCGGGTGCCCTCCCTGAAGATTAGGAGGGTGACTACCCAGAGAAGGGCCTTTTCTGCAGTGGCACCCCAATCGTGGAATTCACTCCCCAGAGAGGTTCGCCTGGCACTGCCACTTTATTCTTTTTGGCACCAGGCCAAAACCTTTTCATTTTCCCAATGTTTTAAGACCTGACTGTTCTAAGTGGGGTTTTTATTATTGCTAAATTTTAGGACACTGTGTTTTAATTATTTTTTTTCTTTTCTTACATTTTATTGCTAAACCGTCCTGAGATTTCGGTAATGGGATGGTCTACAAAAGTTTTAAATAAATAAACTAACTTTGGGAGTTTCCGCACACCCCACAGGGGCTCCCTGAGCCAGAGCCTTTCCCACCGAAGCACCTGGGGACAGCAGCAGGGGGCTGGGGGGACCCCGCACCTCGCCTCACACATGCCACCACAGGCAGCTCGGCTCCTTTGTCCCGCCAGAGAAGCGCAGCAGAGACTCTCTGCTGCCCACCCCTGTCTCCTGCCTGCGCACCTTTCAAGTCCCTCGGTTCCCCAGAAGCCCGGAGGGACCCGAGGGGCCCGGCTGCCAGGGGCTTTCTGGCTTGGCAGCATGTCTGGCAGCACAATGCCCCAGCCCCTCCCTCCTCTCCTCCCCGCATCCATCAGCCTTTCCCTTTCCCAGACAAATTGGCTCCATGGCTTTCATTCAGAGCCTCCCTCCCGCCACCACTCAGCCCTCCTTTCTTCTCATGATTAAGGGTAAGAGGGAAAATGGAAGGTCTGGAACAAAAGAGTCGCATAGCTTTTGTTCTTCCCCCCTTTTCAGGGCCAGCTTCGGAGGCACACAAAGAGTGCACTGTTCTACCAAGCTGCGGCTCCTCCATCTTGAGCTCAGCAGCTGCCCTGTTTTCTTTAAGGCTGCTCACCGGGCTGCTTCCCCCAGATCCCTGGTTATGTCCAACAGCCCCAGTATTTCTCTTGTGCTTGCTCAGGAGTGTGTGCCTTAGTTTTACGCAGTTCACAAGCTCCTGGAGCTCTTTGGGCCCTGCCGCTCAAGGCTGGCTTGCACCACTGTGGGCTTGCAGTTTAGGGCTAAGTGACTGCGGGAGGAGCCAGCAAGAATGCTTTGACATTTCCTCCAGGAAAAGGAGAATTGTACTGACACATACCATGATGGCAAGCAGAACGTTCTGGAACTCATTCCGGAACCCCAAGGTGTACGTGCAGAACAGAGCGAAGTTGCCTTCCAGAAGCTGGAAAGAAGACAGGCGCAGTAGACGGTCAGGCCCTCCATCTGGGAGAGGGGCAGCCACCACCCTCCCCAGCCCGCCCCGCTTCCGCCCTGCCGGTCTGCAGCTCCCCGAATCACCCGCCCAACAAGGACTTCCAGGCACAGCGGCCTCGTTTCTGAGGAATGCAACCCTGCAGTGTCTTTCTGTGGAGTTCGTGGGGGTACACAAGGGTCTCCCTCCTCCCTCCTACCCCCACAACAACCCTGTGAGGCGAGTCAGATGGGGGGGGCTGGCCCAATTCATGGCTTCGTGTGCACTGGAACATCAGTCTCTCTGGTCCCAGCTGGACTCTCGCACCACACCCACCGGGAGCCCCCACAAGGGCAACCACAGCCAAGCCAGCCTGGGGGGAGGAGTGGCTGCAGCCTTCTCTCTGGAGTCGGCAACAGGGGGCCCTCCATCATCCCTCCCCACCAGCTAGGGATGCTTGGAGCTGCAGGACAAAACTTCCGGTGGGCCCACCCCTGCCATACACATAACTTTAGGAACAGAGAACATCATGAATCTCCCTCTGCCCTGGCAAGGTGGCTGAGCCAACGTGAAGAGCAAACAGGCCGACAGGAAAAGGAAGATTCGGATTTTCTGAGGCTTGGAGCAGAGACGGCGCTATCTGCTGCAGGCTAAATGCAAGGCAACGCTACTGCCCCCCCCCCCACCGCAAAAGAGCTTCCAGGGGAATTTGAGCTCCCAAAGCATCACCCAGATTCCAAAGCCATGGTGCCCCCCAGGGAAGTCACTGAGCCGGACCCTGTGCCCAGGCAGGCAGAGACGGGTTTCTCAAGCACGGATTCATCCTGGGGGACCTGCTCCATCAGGCTGCAGATTCTGCCCTCTTGTGCTGCAGCCTCTCTTCTGTGATTCTGTTAATTTCACCACAACACAAGACGCGTGGAATGCCCGAAAGCCCTATTCTGGATCAGGGATTAGACCAGCACACCTGCTCCAAGACACTGCAGGCCACCTCTCAAAATTTCTCACAGCTTCATCCAATTTTTCCCCTTTTCAAATTATTCTCTCCCCCGATCAGTGTGTGTTTAAAATTTGGTTTACAAATACAAAATGTTGTGTGGTCAATTTTAATATGTATTCTTATTGTTACTTTTAATGTACTTTGTGAACTGCCCATAGAGCCTCAGCTATGAGGTAGTGGAGAAAATAAATAGATAATTGGCATCCCTCAAAGGACAAATGCTCCCCATTAACTACTTGGGTGGTTTGAACAGGTTTACTAGCCCTGGGGAGAAAGAGGAAGGGACCTCCAGGCTGCAGAACCAGTGAAACACTGAAGACCTTGCTTTCCCCCTGCCCCGCTTCACTCTACCACCCCAGGCTTGTGCGGAGGCCCACAACAGACGGCACTTTCCTACGGAAACAGGCCCCGCGCACGGAAGACTCTCACGTCAGAGGAAAAAGACAACAGCCTCCTATTCCAGGTGCCAGGAACCTCTGCCATCAAGTGGGCCCTTACTGAGCCGTCTGAAGGGAGATGGCTCAGCATACAAATGTGTCACTTCAGTAAGAACAAGGCTCCAGAGCAGCTTTGGTTCCAGCACACAGGAGAAGGGGCACTTCGTTTACTGCTGCGGGGAGGTACCTGGGCAGGTGGCGGAAGCCTTTCCTTACCATGAAAGCCAAGGAGGTAAAGAGAAAGGCAGCAATCAGCTTGATGTAGGGGCCATGCTTCATCACCAGCTTCAAGCCCTGGAAGAAGGAAGCCGGCTTGTCCAGATGGAGCTCTGAGGATTCTGAGGAACGATACAAAAGCAGCAGGTCAAGCTTCTGTCCCATCAGTCCTTCGCCAGACGTGAACGTGTACGGCGGTGCACCCTGAAGAGCTGAATTCTGTAGCCACAATCCTTAAGCCTAACTTGTCATGCTCGGTGGAATGAAGTTTGCGCTCTTCTGTACTGCTGCCTGGCATTGCGAAGGCAACCACCCCACCGTGACCATGTCCAGCCCCCTCCCACACTCTAGCACGTTTCCAAGAAACCTCTCTGCAGCTTAAGGGGTAGAAAAGGGCTTCTTTTACAAAAGGAAAGAATCTAAAAGAAAAGAATTTTAAATCTTCAGTTGTCAAAGAGCTGCATTCCACTCTTGCTACTGAGCTTGCCATTTCTTCACACTGGAATCGTTGCTTGCACATTACAGTGTCGCAAGGGAACAAAGCCAAGGGAAGCCACCCTGCTAATGCTTTGTGTGCATGCGCAATTTATTTGTGTACAAGCGATGCAAATCATATTACTATGGTGCGTGCAGTCGAGAGCTAAATCAAAGTGGGTGTGGTCTAATTCCAGTTGCAAATACTCAGTAAAGCAAAATGTTACATAGATATTCTTAAAGGGGCACTGGTTTTCAGTGAGGCAACCCAGTTCTTTGCACAGATTCCAATTCTCTTAGACTGTCCCTTTAAAATGTCTTCGAGGAAACTCTCAAGCCCATGACACAGTGCTGGGAGAGAAGGGCCAGCCACCTAGGCAGATGGCATGCAGAGAAGAGGCGGGTGGGCCCAGGAGTACTCATAAAGAGGGTTCTTGGAAGTAGTTGGTAAACTGGGTCCAGCTCTGTGCATGCTCAGAGACTCATTCTGTGGTGACTGGGCTTACTGGATGTACTTTGGAGAATGAAAACTTTTTAAAGGAACAGTCTGTTGCTTTGAATGTGCAAAGTGGGGAATCTAGCTCCTGACAGTCCGGATTAAAAAGTTTCCCACCCTTTTTGAAGTTCAAAAAGCTGCCGTCAACTTGGTCAAAGAAACCTTCCAGCAGGACACCCCCTTCAAGGCCAGCTAATGGACACTTCCCAGATGTGGAGTGCTTGAGCGATTCGGGCTCTGGATCCCTCGAAGTGACGACATTTGCTCCTGGGGATTGCCTTTGATAACCCTCCTCCAAGGATGGCCCTGGGGACCCTCTGGGTTTGAATGGTTCTCGGCTAGAGGGCTCAAGAGCAACTCCAATCACCAGGTGGCTTTTTCGGAGAGAACAATGCAGGGCAGCGTTCAGGGGGAGCCGCTTCTCCCGCAAAGGCTGGTTTGAGCCAGAAAGCGGGGAAATTCGCAGAAGGAACGTGGGCCAGGCAAGGCTGGGCTTATGTGATGGGGAAGGGTTGCCCAATCTAGTCTTGTGCTCCCTTGGAGTGGCCCTGGACATTTCCATGTCTTGGAAAAGGCAAGCAGAGGCCGTCTGCAAGCAGCCTGTTTGAAGGCTGTGGATGCGGGAGGAGTGTGTGGCTCAGACTGGGCCTCCTGTAACACAACGCCACCGAGTCAGTAATGCGCAATCCACCCTTCAACAGCATTTTTGGAGTGTTCAGAACGGCTCCCAGAGGAGCTCACTGGCTTCAGACCAAAATCGTGGGGTCCAGCTTCAAGAAACTGGATGAGGAGACTGAAATGCAGGAAGAGGAGGAAGAGGGAACTGCATAAGCTGAAACCTGTTCCCACTGGCCCAGGCATGGTCTGGCCAAGCCTACAGAAGTCCCGGGAGGAGGAGGGGCCATTCTCAACGGGAGATCACATTACCTGGCATCCCCAGGTGGAGCTAGGAAAGATGTCTGAGACCTTAGAAATTATTTCCCGTTAGAACAGACATTCGAGACAGACTAAAGCCTTCTCTTTGGTGACAAGACCAACAGTCCAACGGTGTGAAAAGTAATTTCCCAGGTTCCCACCTTAGAAAGAGCACGCTCCTGTCTGCCTCATTCTTGCGCAGGTCCTTTCCTGGACCAGTCGTGCCGGCCTTTCCCTTTCGGAGAGGCCACGTGCGTCAATCTGCATGGCTCACCTCGTCTCTCCCGCACGCCGGCAAAGAGAATGGCAGCACAGAGGATGTATATTCCACCGATGACCCCGGCTGCGAGCATGTAGGCGTTCCTCTGCAGGAGGAAAAGGAAAAGGGACGCATCCGGATGAGGCACGAGGCTTCCAGAGGAGACCATCGTTCAGAAGGGTGTCACTGTGTACTTGCTTCACGGAGAGCAGAATTAAAAGCCCCATTCTTCACTCCACACAAAGCCAACCACCTTTATTAGTGCAGCTCAGTTTTGCCCTTTGTCCAAGGACACAGAAGAACACTGATTTAGTACCACAACTCCGCAGAACCGGCTGGGTACATATATACACTTGTATATAAACTGCCCTGGAAATTTGAGGGGTGGCGTGCAATGCTCGCAGCATAGTTAGCACATTGTCCCATGCACGGCTCTGGCAGCTGGTGGGGGATCCTAGGGCCATGCGCTCCACGCTGCACTGGCTCTTCAGCTACGCTGTGGCCATTTCAGAGGGGGGGATTTGCCCTCTACCTGTGCAAACAAGTGAAAATTCTCGTCCTAGGTAATAATCGTAGCCAAATGAAGCGGCAGTTATTCCACAATAAATCAGGCATGGTGCAAAAGAGGATGAACCTGTGCAAGACAAACCAGGCTTACAAATTAGACACCAAATCTGAGGAATGTGTCAATAGCTCTGGGTCCTTAGGAAAATGTGAAATCTGGGAAATTGTATCCAATCAAACAACTCTCTTTGCCCTGCTGTTCATACAATCCTCCTCCTCCTCCATCACATTTCTATACCTTCCATAGCCAAAGATCTCTGGGGTGGCTTACAAAATGGACTAATTCCAACAGGGGTTTTTATCCTACACATAATTTTCTTGAAGGGGAATACCGATTGCCGTCTTTTCCTTCGTCACTCTTTGGAATGAGCTCGAGGGGAGGGAAATGGAGGAAAAGGAAAAGCCAGTAAGTGCTCAATGAATTGAGAGTTCACACTTGGCTGCCAAAAATAGTGTGTAAAGGAGAAGCCCGAACTCAGCAAGGTGCAGGTCAAGGCATCCGGTCCAATGCCTTCCTCTTCTTTTAAAGGCTGTGTTATAATGGTGCCGAATGCTGTCAGAGTCCACAGGCCTGGGACACAGTCCACGAGCGGTGCAGTGAAGCCAGTGCAGTGAATGCACTGGCCAAGAGAGCAGGGCTGGGACTCAGGCGATCCGGGTCCCAGTCCCCGCTCAGCCATGGAGCCAGCTGGGTGACTCTGGGCCAGGCACAGCCTCTCAGCCCAGCCTACCTTGCAGGGCTGCTTTTGTGAGGATAGGATTTGAGAGCAGAGGAGGAGTATGATGTGCGTGGCTTTGAGTTCTTAGAGAAAGGGACAGGATATAAATCTAATAAATAAATAAAAATAAAACTGCAGCACAGAGGACCAGAGCAATGGCCTATCTTGTCCAAATTCCTGTTTTGCACCCTGGCCAAAGGATATGGAAGCCCGCCAGAAGGATATGGAGGCAACGAGTCCTCCTTCACGGGTGCCCCTGCATCTGCCGTGTCCACCAGGCGGTCTGTATGATGAAGCAGCAGCTTTCTGCTCAGCCCAGCCCCGGAGCATGGACCCTCGCTAGCCCCTTAGCACTCAAGAGCTCTCTAAAGGAGACTGTACCGTATCTGTGAGCGAGCCGGTGTCATGGGTGATGTTGAGCTCCCCCACGGCGACGGAAGAAGAGTTGAGCACCGGCAACAGGAGAGGGTCTGGAATGCACGGTGTGTCCGCTTTGCCCACGATCTGCCCTTGGACGGCGGTTCCCAGGACAGTCCCCAGCACTTCCACCGTCATGCCTGGGGGAGGAAGAGGTGCGAGCAGGCAGTGGTCAGGTGGGGGAGGCTGCTGTCTGGCCAGCCTTCCTTGAAAGCAGTCCCAGCAAACCTCGGTTTGGCTGCCCAGCCAGCCGTTGGGAGTGCGCCAATTAAACCATTTCGTCTTAAGTGCTTCAACTCACGTAGCTCACTTTTGCAAGCAGGACTTCCTGGGAAGTCATGTCCAGACACCATACACGTAAGATGAATATTCTCAATAGTCAGAGAACAACGTGCACCCTTCTCTCTCCTTTCTTGGCCACTTGAAAGGGATCCTTCATAGAAATACAGTGGGGAAACCACTGCACACACGTTCGCTATGAATCAGCCCCGAAGCAACAGGTAGATGGGCAGGGTTGCCTGCAAACCCCTCATGAGTGAGGTCATATTTTGATCTCCAGGGTGAAGATCCTGCTGTTCAAAAGGTTTGTTCTATGTTTTACAAGGCAGAAGTCTGGACTGCATCGCTGTATCTGGAGCAAAGGACGTAAAAAGCTAACATTCACCTCAGTGGGAGAAAATTTTGCGGGCAGTGAAGGCTGAGGGCTACACTGAAAGGGCTAAATGGCGACATGCAGGGAATTCGCACCTAAGATAGCCTGTTTTAAAGGCTTCTCCTTAACAGAGCCCTGTGTATAGCAACAGCACACCTGGAAAGAAGGTTTAACCTAGTCTACACTGGTTTGCTGCATGCAGAAACGATCAGAAAGGACACACCCACTCGGACACCCTACAGCTTGTTCTGTTTATGTGCAGAACAGCCCCATGCAAATAGGAATCTAAGAAAATCAATTTACTACATTTCTATGCAAACCAAGAGGCACACCTCTATGGCTCACACACATTAAAGAGCCATCGGTGCTGTCGGAAGCTCAGGCACACCCCTCCCAGCCCAGGGAGCCCAGCGGGTTGACTGCCGCATTTTAGGAGAATGCAGCCAGGCCGGCCAAGGAAGCTCCCAGCACAGATCGGATCAGTGGGAGTCAAGGTGCCAGCCCAAAGCGCTCCAGCCCTCCGACCCTCTTGCACAGGCCAATCCCAGACCAAGAGGAACAGATGCTTTTGCGCGCGTGCTCTGCATTCCTTCCCGCAGGCGCCGACACCTGCCTGCCTGCATCATCCATGTGCAACCAGGAGCACGTGCCCGGAGACGCATGTGCCACGAGGGACAGCTGGGGCATTTCATGCTGCCCCCCAGCAATTGCCACCCGAAGATCACATTGGCTCTCAGCCAGTGGGAGCCAGAGGAAGAAAACAGCATCCCACCCCAGGGGCTAGAAGCACTTTAACAGCACTTTTGTATAAAGACAGGAGGTTCTTACGGTAGGCAGTGGCAGAATCTCGCTCACTCTGCTCTCTGCTAATGAACATGGTGAGGGCCGAGTAGGGCACATGGAAGCACTGCAAGAGAGAAAAGGAACACGGGAACTTGAGGTGCTGCAGGTGTCGTGCAAAACACAGCTAGGTCAGGGCATGTGCCAGGGGATGGCCGGAATTTCTGAAAGGAGGTGGGTGTGAAGAAGAGCCGATAAGCAAGTCTTTGGGACAGGTAAGTGCCTGACTTCTCCATCTGGAGAAGAGACCCCCCCAACAAAACAGGCTAAGGGCTCAAAAATGCACATAGCTTGCATGCAGTTTTCGTTTGATTTCATTTTGCCCATGTTCCCCCCATTTTCGGCATCTATGATATGTGTGTATACAATGGCTGCTGAAGGGGGTTCAGGGGTGAAACCGGACCCCTGACCTCCTAAAGTTGCTCCCACACTGCAAATTGTATATTACACCATGTGGGCTCGAAACTTAGTTTAGGAAAGTGAGAGTGCAGACATCAGGAATAGAAACTCTATACCAGGTGTCACACTCCAATTGATACAAGGACTTGAAACAGCAAGGTGGGTGAATTCTGATGAATTTCATTGTACCACAAAAAGAAGGCAGACTCACCGTCACCAGAGTCTGGAAGATGCAGTAGAAGAAGAGGTACCACATCACTTGCCCTTGAGAGACGTCTGGCACAAACCATATCAGGAAATAGGAGATCACAGCAAAAGGAGTAGAAAATACAATCCTATAAAGAGTTAAAAAAGAAAAGTGATTATGTCTTGAAAACTAAAAAAAAAAGTCCTAGTTTTGTTATGTGTTGGGATGGCTTTAAATGCAGGGGCGTCTGCCTGACCATTGTTACCTCTGCAGGATCTCCTACAAGCGCTTTTATGCTATTCACTGCATCCCACCATTATTAAACTCAGCAGGACACGGAAGGGAGCACAAGAAGAGCATTTCAATGACAGCAAAGGGGGAGGGGACCAAGCACACTACCCAGAAATACTCCTTTCCGGGCAGATTTAGTATTTACTTCTCTTAGAAGCAGGTAACACAACACTCATCCTCCTGTTGCCAAGAGATGCCCCTCTCTCTCTCCCTCTCACATGTGCACACACACAAACACGGACACAGGCTGTCACCTGCCAGTTTCAAGACAGGAAGGTCCAGTGAGAGGGAGAAGCTCCCAGGCTCCAGCACGACTCACAGGGACAACACTGGCCGACTCGGAGGACGGAAGCACCGACCTGGGACACAGGGCACGCTTGCCAGAGCGAAAGTGCAGCCAGTCAGTGACGACCCTCTCTGTGATGATCAGTGCTGGTGGGTTTCCCGTGTGCCTGACTGCTTGCGCTGCACCATTTCCACTCCAAGGGATTAGATGACCTTCAGGTTCTGCCAGAAGCCCTACAAGTTTGTAATTCCAGGCCTGTCAGAGCTGAGAGGAAGCGGCAGGGCTCCAAAGAGCATGAAGAGCTGAGTAAGCTTTTGTGGAGAGGGGCTTTGATCACGGAGACCAAGCCCCCCTCAATGAAGCCGCAGGAGGGAGCCTGCCGACTGACTGACGAGATGGTGTGCCTACTCAAGGAGGGAGGCCGAGAGGGTTTGCATGCCATGTGTGCCAGACTGGGAAAGCGGAACGAGGAACCAAATGGGGAGGGTGAGAGGCTGGAATTACTTAACTGGCTTTCTTCCGGCCCAGATTTTACCCACATGATGCCACAAGGCAAACCTTTAGAGCAGCCTTGCATGGTCCTCTCTGGGGACAAAGAGCTAGCAGCTGGCAGCCAGCATGGAAAAGCTGATCCCACTTTCTCCTTTGCAGCTACAAAACAACTAGCAGAGGCAGGTGTGAATTCTCACTACTATTTAGCTTTATTTGTTTGCAAGCAAAGGACTTTGGTTGGTGGACTCATTACAAGGTATGTAACTGGAGGCACACAAAAATCACCAGCAATGTGGGGGGAGGAGTGGGGGGCAAACAGAAACCTGCCCCTCTGCTCGGCAGGCTGGCTCTGAAAGAGGGGCTCCCATAGGGCTCCCGGGGGTGTCTCATTGCGCTGGGCTCTGGGGAGAGAATGGGCATTCGCACAGCACTCTGCAGCAGCCCAGGAGCTGGAGAACAGCCAGCTCCATAGACCCGAGCCCAGGCAATCCACTGCTGCCCCATTTTTGGGAGCTGGGAGGTTCACCAGCACGAGCAGAAGAGTTCACAGGGCCTCTTTTCAGCTCCTGCAATGGCTCCGGGGCTAAAGGTTGTTCATGTGCGACCTTACAGCCCTTCCCCTGTGCCCCTGAAGCTGGCGCAGGGCTTCCCCCTTGGGCTCAGAGAGTCTGCCCCACCATGTAACTCGAGTGTGTGTGTGTACTGCTTCTGATGGAGGAGGTGGCTGATAGCCCATATGACTAGTAGCCATGGATCGCCCTCTCCTCCATGTCCAACTCCTTTTCAAAGCCATCTGAACTGGTGGCCACTGCCCCTTCCACAGTGGCCATGAATTGCAGAGTTATATTATTATGTGTTGTGTGAAGGTGGCCTCCCTTTTATCTGTCCTGAATCCCCCACCAATCATCTTCATAGGATGGCCCTGTTGGGTCCTACTATTATGGGAGAGGGAGAAAGATTTCTCCCCCTCCACTTTCTCCCTACTGTGCATAATTTTCAGTGGCACAGAAGAAGATACAGAACCTGGGGCACAGGAAGGAGAGAGAGAGGGAAAGAAAAAGAATAGCCACTCAGTTGCTAGGAGAGAGGTAAACACTTAAGCCTTCCACAGAAGAAGCCTGGTGAGGTTTCCCTTATGCTTTAAGCATTATTAAGAAAAGATAGTCTTATCTCTTCCAAGCTAATCAGCATAGAGAATAGAGGGAGAGATCAAGTTGCAGCGCCACCAGTACCAGGCACAGGCTGGTGGCTTGGCCAACGTGCAAAGGGTTAATGTTCAGTTCAGAAAAATGATCTGCTTCCTTCTCTCCTTTGATCACCAAGCTAATTAACAGAGGCATCCAGGAACAAAGCATACTGAAAACTAAACTTGGAGTTTGGGCTCTGAAAAGGTTCCAAAAAGAGAAAGATGACAATTCAGCCTAGAAGCACAATCCATAGGGAAGATCTCCTGCACAGCCTCATCAAAAAGAGAAGGATCTACGCAAAAGCACATAACCATGTATGAATGTTAGTCGCAAAGTCATGCCTGACCCATCGCTACCCCATGGACAACATCCCTCCAGGCCTTCCTGTCCTCCACCATCCCTGGCGCCCACATAAGCTCACACCCACTGCCCCAGTGACCCCATCCAGCCACCTCATCCTCTGCCCCGTCCCCTTCATCTTTTGCCGTCAATCGTTCCCAGCATTAGGCTTTTCCCCAGTGAGTCCTTCCTTCTCATTAGGTGGCCAAAGTATTTGAGTTTCATCTTCATCATCTGGCCTTCTAAAGAGCAGTCAGGGTTGATCTCCTCTAGGACTGAGCGGTTTGATCCCCTTGCAGTCCAAGGGACTCGCAGGAGTCTCCTCCAGCACCACAATTCAAAGGCCTCAATTCTTCGGTGCTCAGCCTTTCTTATGGTCCAGTTTTCAAAGCCATACATTACAACTGGGAAAACCAGAGCCTTGACTATATGCAATTTGTTGGCAGGGTGATGTCTCTGCTTTTTACTTTGCTGTCTAGATTTGCCATAGCTTTCCTCCCAAGGAGCAAATGTCTTTTAATTTCTTGGCTGCAGTCCCCGTCTGCAGTGATCTTGGAGCCCAGGAAAATAAAATCTCGCACTACCTCCATTTCTTCCCCATCTATTTGCCAGGAAGTGAGAGGACCGGATGCCATGATCTTAATGTTGAGTTTCAAGCCAACTTTTACGCTCTCCTTCACCTGCATCAAGAGGCTCTTTAGTTCCTCTATACTTTCTCCCAGTAGAGTGGTATCATCTGCATATCTGAGGTTCTTGATATTTCTCCCAGCAATCTTAATTCCAATTGGTGATTCATCTAGCCCCGCCTTTCTCATGATGTGCTCTGCATATAAGTTAAATAGGAAGGGTGACAGTATACAGCCTTTCCCAATTTTGAACCAATCAGTAGTTCCATGTCCAGTTCTCACTATTGCTTCTTGTTGCTTCTCAAGAGACAAATAAGATGATCTGGTACTCCCATCTCTTTAGGAACTTGCCACAATTTGTTGTGATCCACACAATCAAAGGCTTTAGTGTAGTCAATGAAGCACAAGTAGATGTTTTTCAGGAACTCCCTAGCTTTCTCCATGATCCAGGGTATGTTGGCAATTTGATCTCTAGTTCCTCTCCCTCTTCGAAATCATGCCTGTACTTCTGGTATTTCTCAGTCCACATACCGCTGGAGCCTAGCTTGTAGGATTTTGAGCATCACTTTGCTAGCATGTCAAATGAGTGCAATGGTGCGGTAGTTTGAACATTCTTTGGCATTGTCCTTTGGAATTGGAATGTAAACTGACCTTTTCCAATCCAGTGGCCACTGTTGAATTTTCCAAATTTGCTGGCATATTGAGTGTAGCACTTTTACTGCATCGTCTTTTAGGATTTTGAATAGCTCAAATGGAATACTGTCTCCTCCACTAGCTTTGTTGTTGCTCAGACTTCCTAAGACCCATTTGACTTCACATTCCAGGATGTCTGGCTCGAGGTCAGTGACCACCCCATCATGGTTATCAGGGATGTTAAGCTCTTCCTTGTATAGTTCTTCTGTGTAATCTTGCCACCTCTTCTTAACCTCTTCTTCCTCTGTTAAGTCCCTGCCATTTTGGTCCTTTATTATGCTCATCTTTGCACGAAACGTTCCCTTCATATCTCCTATTTTCTTGAAGAGCTCTCTGGTCCTCCCTATTCTATTGTTTTCTTCTATTTCTTTGCACTGTTCATTTAAGAAGGCATTCTTATCTCTTCTAGCTATTCTCTGGAATTCTGCATTCAATTGGGTGTATCTTTCTTTTTCTCCCTTGCCTTTCGCTTCCCTTCTTTCCTCAGCTGTTTGTAATGGCTGCTCCATTTCTTCTGAGGGATTCTTCCCCACAGTAGTATACCTGATGGTCATCCGAGTTAAATTCAACCATGCCCTTCCACAGCTCTCATTTCCCTCTGCCAGGTTTGCACTGAAGACCTTCTCGGGCACCACTTCCTGGGAGTCTGCATGGGATGACCTGCCTGCCCATCAGCCAGTGCGCCACGGCCACTGGACCACTGGGGTGGGGTCTCGAGATCCAGATTCCAGTCCCCACTCAGCCCTCCTGTGCACTGAGTGACTTTGGGCCAGCCAGGCTCTCAGCTTCTCCTACCTCACAGGGGTGTTGTGATCGTAATATGCAAAGCAGCTTTAAGTGGGCCACCTTGGGCTCCTTGTAGGAAAAGGGTGGGCTATGGCTATCATCAGTAACTAAACCTTGCCTTATGCCTGGAGGATTCACCACCAGCTCCTGCGTTGATTGACCCAGTGCAAAAGCACAGTTCTTTTGCCTCGGAGACTCCAAGTGCTCTGGCGCAGGGACCGTGCTGCCAACTTATTCGATGCAGTGCGAGATGGGTGTGCCTGCCCAGTAAGCCGGCAGCAGTCTCTCAAACTAGAGTGGGAGGGTCATGGGAAGAGCTCTTGCAGAGGTCTCTAGAAGGTTTCTGGCAGGGCAGAAAGTACACTGCCCATTTCTTCTTCTGGACTGCTGCCCATGTGGCTGAGAGCACATTTGTCCAGGGGCGTAGGGGGGAGAGAAACTTCTTCCG